ATACTTGAAGATTAGAACTGTGGGAGCTGTATACTGATTTTTATATACTCTTGTTGCAAACTCAATAGCATTTTCCATTCCAACTATTTCTATTTGTGAGAAAGTTGAAAGACCTTTTAGCATGACTTTACACTGAAAAATATCATAATGAGCTTTAGATTCTAGAAAATTTTTACCCTCTTACCAATAAGTATGCATTTTCAATGATATCGGTAATTCCTTTACTAGTTAGTGTTTGTGTGGCTACCCACCACGGTAACGTGTCCAATTTCTCACGATATGAAGGTTTGTGACCCTCAACAGTCCTATGAAGAGTCTGAAATGTAAATTACCTCGAAATGAGTTAGAAAAAGGAAACCCTAGTTTAGAATAACTTACAACTACTGGTGCAGCAGGAATGCCTAACCATAAAGCTAGAGGAAGCGTAACGCTGTCAACCTGAGTAAGAACGTGGACAAGAACCTCTGTTGGATCACGCAGAGTTAAAGCAGCCACAGCCTGAAACAATTTAGGGATAGTTATGCCATTAAAAGAGATAAAGTAGCGCAGATATATGTGCACAAAAAGGATCATGACAAAAGCTCCACTTCTACATTAATTTACTACTGTAACTGTAATTTGATGATTTGAAAGAATTTCCGATTCACTTAAATTACATTATTGGCTTCTTTGACTTTTCGTATGGGATCTTCCATGTCACTGTTACGAAGTAATGAGCCATTCATAATTTGCTTTCCGCAAGACTTCTATTATCGTTATGTTCCAGAATTAGATAATAAGGCGATGATTTAGCGTTTGATTTCGAAACAATAACCGGGAAGTTGGCAAGATTTCTCTTTTAAGCTGTTTAACAGCAATGTTTGAGATTCTCTGTCGCAACCCATTTCATTGCAGTATGATGGGTTTTCACGTTCCCCATAATCAAATACATCAAAGTTAGACACTGAAATATAGATGGTTGCATCTAGAATAACCTTTATTTCAGGTTATAGATTTTTAGAAGTTTTAG